TACAAGTAAAGAATATTCTCTACAAGTAGAGGATGTTAAATGTCAAGATGTTTATTTTTCTGATTTGATGAAAGTACATAAAATAAGGCATTTGGGAGTTGCCACTAAAGCTAGACATGTTGAAAGGAAATTATAAGCTTTATTGTGCCGATCATACACTTAAAACTAAGTTTTGATCTTAAGTGACAAGCAAAGCTATATTTATCCATGATAGATGCACTGACCCCACTTAAACCATAGATGGGTCAATTCTCTGTCTAAAGATGATGATAAAAGCTGATGCAATTTCTGATCCATCACCAACTCTTGCAGTACCAACAGGCTTTACTTCCCACTAAGAAATCAGAGAACCGGGGGAGAGCATGGAGCAAATGTCTAAACTAGGATTTCTTAAATGCATTCTGAGGGCTCCTTAGCAGCCAGTTTTTCAGCAGTTGCTTCCTTACTAGAAATTCAGTCCATCTCCTGTTACGTTAGGAATGACATTGCTCAAGCTCAGAGATGCAAACTAATGTGCAATTCTCAGACACGTATCTATCTCACCTTATCATAATAATGTTGTTGTTATTTTTAAAAATTGTATTTAATTGACACAGTAGAGCCTGCTGGTAAGCACAGCAAAGTGCAGCAGGTGTGGGAGCTGCCTCCTGGCAGGCACATTCAGTGTACAATTCTACCTGTCACAAACCTAACCATGTATACAAATTTGAAGTTAATTTCACCTATAAACAACATTAATGCTTCCCCCCATTATTACCTTAAAAAATATCTAAAACTTGCTAAGTACCCTACAAACCAGCAGCAGAGCACTGAAGACTTAAGTGAGATTATTCAGGGTTTTTTCTTTTTAAAAATGCTGCTTTGAGTAAATATTTCTACCTAACTTCCAAGAGAATCAAATAGTGCAAAATTTGCATAACGGTATTTCCAAATAAAACTAACACTCTACACCAATTGTGCTCTTTGGGCATATTAGAGTTTTATGATGTTGGTTAATTATTAATTCTGCCTCAGCACAAGCTTTGAAAACAATTCTACAGATCTGGTAGACAGGCCTTGCAAAAGCACATCTTGTGCAAAAGCAACTGTTGGGCAGGAATTAACAATCCTAACATCAAAAATAATAACTGGATAAACGTCCAGGTGAGGACTTAGCGTTTAAGCTCTTTAAAATCAACCTAAAGATCAGGCACTGAAATGCACATCATTAAACTGCGGTCAAGACTAAATCATTAACTAATTCATGTTATTCTGTTTTTCTTTTTAGACCTCCAAAAGGAAGCGTGGCTACATTAAGAATAAACTAATTTTAAAGAAAGGCAAGAGACCCAACAGGAAGACAGTTTAAATACACTGTTCTGATTGCTAATACGAAGCAGTTGTCCTTGAGATAACCAGTCTTTGCCTTTAGCTCAAATCATGTTTCACAGCAACATGAGGGTACAGAACCATCATTGGTCCAGATTATTGTACAAAATTTTCAGGCAATGTCTGATTAAAAATATTGGCTTATTGAGAACAGCTGTTTTAGATTTGTAATGTGAAGCAAGACAGAGCTGCTATCCAAGTCTAGCAGCAATTTTTTTTTTTATTGGTACATATTATCCTTCAAATCTGTTGAGAATTTGGACTGACTTTACCAAAGAACCCTGTAATTTGGTCCTTGGCACATGCATACTTGTCAATCTTTTTTGGACAACACTGTTCAGCTGAATAGCAGCAGTATATAAACTGGAATAGTGACATCTGACAATGACTCTTTTTTTTTTTTTCAACAAAAAAGAGGTGGCAGAGCTCTCTCAAATTCAACTTTTAAAACAAGTTACTCCCATGATTATTTTTCAATGGTTTCTTTCGATGTCCTTTTACTATTGCTGCAGGCTGGTTTTGAGCTGGAGTGTAAGAAGCAAAGCTGCAGTTTTCACAAGAGGAGACAGGACAGATTAATTGGACAAGCTGCTTTTGTTCAACACGGGATTGCAGTATTGCTGCCTTACACTGTCATTTCACAAGGTAGACAAGGCAAATCTTGCACACCATAGATACAAGGGCTAAATTTGTAACCTCCTGAACGATTCGAAACGACAGTAATGAATGCTATAGTAACACACAACTGAGCACTGTGTAGCAGCTGGTGCTTCAGAACAGAAATTAAACTACTCTAGGTGAATGTTTACATTGGTAAAAGAAGTACAGCCTGTTTATTGGGGGAAAGAAGGTTGACAGGTATACAAAACCCCTTTTCTGTGGCTATTGGAGGTAGAAGATTTGCAAACCTCTGCCCCCCCCTCGCTGCCTTTTTTGTGAGGGTAGAAGTTTTTCTGGAAATCTGTTTCTCTGCATTTTTATTTAGAGTGCTTATATCAACTGAAGAAATTCCTGCTATAGTGCTATTTGCTTTGTCTGTCTTTTATACTGTTTGTTTTTTGGTTTTTTTTTTAGTGGTGAAAACTGTCAGATTAAATGCACTAAAATATAAATGGAGACTGAACATGTTCACTTTCCAGCTCTTGGAGAACTTTATACAGACTTGAAAATTTTCTTTAATTAAAATGAAAGGGTTTTGCAGTTTTGTTTTCCTGCCACAGGTTGTAACTTTTTATAGAAACAAAATTTGCATCAATAACTTGATGTAAAATGCAGAATAGTATGTACCTTTCATGAAGAAAATGTAAATTTAAAGTGTTCTGTGAGAATGTTACTGCTGACTTCTTTCTCAAGGTGTAGAATATTTTTTTGATTTATGAACTCATTTTTGACTCTGATGGTTTATACAGACCAATATCACAGCTGCAACATTTTCACAAAGGTAATTAAATCTGGATTTCTGGCCCCCTGTCGTTTGGAGATTTCATTTTATTTTGTTGCTTTAAAGCTCAATGCAGACCAGTTGTTGACTGTAGGGGAAAATAAAGTTAATTCAAGTTTTGTGTTAAGGCTGTTGTGTCAGTTTTGTTGTGCTTAACTTTTTTTTTTGCTTACAGTCCTAGTCGTAAATTAAGTTATTGGAACTCCATAATGCAAATCTCCTGACTTCATGAAGCTGCTGAATGAAGCCACAACAGCTCCTTAATATCCCTCCAGCTTAAACTTACTCAGACAAATATAGGGCCTGTGCTGTGTTATATTTAAGGTGGCTGTTGTATTTTCAGGGAACAGCAGCCATTTTTCCCTACCACTCATGTTGCAGCAAATCCTTCCAGCATCTGGAGAAGCTCCAGCTGTTACAGCTGCTTACCCACCAGCAGAAGAGGTGATTATGTGATGCATGATTTCTCGTATCTTGCTGCTCCCAAATCTGGATCCTGCCCTGTCACCATTGGTCAAGAAATAAAGGGATCTAACATTTGGGAGAACACCTGAAAGGAAGCAGAACAGATCCTGCCAGTCAGGCTCCGGCTTGGCAGTAACTCAGCCTTGTTTTAAAAAAGAAAATACAACACTGCCCTCCCATCTTTAGGGATCTTTACAGTTCATCAGATTGTTTTCCACCTTAGCTGACAGTGTTCTCTTTAACAGCAAAAATAAGTGAATCCAAGTTACGTGAAATAAAAATAAACCAACTACAGGAATCCCAGCCAGCCTCGGGCTACAGTTGCCTACCACTTACCTGAGCTTTCTTAACTCTAACCTGACTTAAAGGCTTCTGCCAAGGTTCAGCAGTTAAAATGAAATGAAAGGGTGGAGTCATCGAGGTAGCCACTTAGAAAAAGCAACATTACAAAGAAGAATGGGCAGGCATTGTCTCACCTTCCTTGGTTCCTCAGGAATTCGCACACCATGTAGGTTTACACCTGCATCCAAGAACTACAGCAGTTAACTAACTCCTACCTCTTCTGGGGAGAACTGAACAGCACTTTTACCAGCAAAGACTACAGCCATATTGCATCATCATCATCCACTCCTCCATTGTTTATTTCCTTAGCTACAGCCATCCTTTTGCTGTTCTGCTAGGTCAAATTTTAAAGCATAATTGCCATAAACCAGTAAAATCTCAATTAAAAAAAAAAACTTATGCCAAGCTTGAATTGCTAAGGAACTAAAACTACAAGTGTCTACAAGCCAGTGTTGCGTAAGTTCTTTATCTGTTAATCATTACTGTTGAGAGCAGTGAGGCAGACAGTGCTGTTGGTAATCCCAGAAGAAATATTTTGACTTGTAGAAGTAATTTTGTAACAGAGGGGGAGAAAAGTCATTAATTAAACATCTTGATAGATTTACTTTTGAAAACACAGTTGAATGCTTTGACTGAGCCTTCTGTACATATCAGTCCCACTGAAAACAAATCATATTTGGCTGTGACTTAACCCAAGTGTATAAACTGCTCCAAGATGTGGCCTTGAAGCAATGCCATGGAAAGGCAAGGAACATGACTGGGTAGTTTTCCTGCCCTATTTACAGCCAGTTTTGTTTTCCATTTTGCATAAAAACAAAGTGTTCCAGCACAGGAGTTTCCAACATTGGACGAATGTTTAAAGAAAACCAGGAGGGCGTTAGATAACACTTGAAAAATGCTGACCAGGACCCATGTGAAGCCTCTAAGCATATTTTTCCTCCCATGGCAAGTGTCCAGTGCTGCAATAATGTAGAATTTTGGTTTAAGAGGTATCTAGTCCAGAATCTTTGTTAGTGACAAAGATTAAATGAAATAGGATTTTCAGAAACAAGGGGACACCTTAATATTTTTACTTGTCAAAATAAGGCATATGTTCCCCACCCCTTCTTAAAGCCATGATGCTGCCCAGTCCCGTTTTCCCTGGGGAGAGCTGTCCAGTTTCAACAACTTACCTACAGAGTGTCTGGCAGAATGAACAGGGCAGAAAACCCCTAGAACACACCAGGATTCAGCTGGCAAATCGCTTCTCTCAGAACCCTGCACCCTGCACAGGGGCCTGAGTGCTGTACACCTGTACTGGGTGCTGTACCGAGCTCCAGGACAGCTCAGTGACTGGAACTGCTTAACTAATGCTTCCGTGGAAAGAGAAAGGGCATCCCACTACTAAATGAAACAAATCTTTTATTCATGAGCATTCTCATTTTAAATTCACAAATTATGAAAGGAAGGCAAATCAGAAGAGACTGCCAGAGCATCTTTTAAATGATAAAGGTATAAATTTTCCTTCTGAACATTTCTAATTTAGGAAAGAAAAAGGTTGCATAGGCTTTCTACAGGTGTGCACACAAAAAAATTGAAGTACATGGAGGTTTTTACATTACAATTCAGTGTACATTGGCTACTTGAAAAGGAAAGTATTTACTTGCAATTCCAAGACAGCTATTGGAACAACCTACAGAATAAGGCTTATGAATATTTACTTTTCAGTCCTGTAAAATATACCAAACACGTAGCTATCAGAAAAATAAAATGACAGTTGTGAATCCTATTCTGGAATCTCTCGCTGATGGGATCTTTTCAGAAAGGACTGTTTTTATGTTTGTGTCTCCCAAGTTCTTTCTTTGGGAAATAAACAGGGGTAATGGCATCAGGGGACTCTCCACAGCATCAGAATGGAACAAAACATTGATCAGAGCACAAGTGGAATGTTCTTGGCATGCAGAAACAACCAACCATGCAGACAGAAAAAATCTTCAATAAATTACAAGCAGAAAATTACTCAGATTTCTCCTTAAAAGAAAGGCTACAGCATCTCTGTAGCCTCGACAGTCACACCATCAAAGCTGAAAGAGGTTACTCCTTCAGTGGCAAAGGCCTGCATGCCTGACACACAGAGGTTTGCAATGGCTATTTTAGTGAGTATGTGTCTTGTTCTTTGGTGTGTGAAAGAGTTTTGGGAGGATGTTCCATGTGTTTAATTCTGCTTTTTCGATTGTTCTTTGTGATATTACAAACTGTAGGAATACTTCTAGGTACTTATCAGACTAACCTCTAGAAAATGAGTGGATCCGTTACAAAGTGAATTCCTGCAGGTGATAAAGTACACATTTTCCTGATGATACTTGGTTCAGTAAATACTACAACAGCATCATTTTGGTTTTGTTACAGAAAACTATTACATCAACTATTCCTAAAAAATAATTTTTTTTCCTTTAAAAAAAAAGTGTCAGTTACAAAACCAAGCTCATACAGTCCACTTCTTTTAAAAAACAGGATTTAAATAATTTAGAACATGAGTTTTTCTAATGTGCAAAAAAAAAGGACAGACAAGCAGACAAAATAGGATTTAGGAGAAAAAAGTAGCCACACCTTCATTAAACAGGGATCTGAAGCTCAAATGTAAAGATCTATTACATATTATGTCCAAAGGAACAATTAATGGCATGTTTCCTTGTGTACACACCTCTGCTCAGCCTTTTGAGTCGCTCAAAGGATTTTGACATCTACCAAAAAACCAAAACGCAGGATGCACAAGGACAGATGTGAGCAGTGCTTTGACCTAAGTATCTTTGTGTAACACCTATAAAGCGTAAGTTAGTGTATTAAGAAAGCAGACAAAAGGCACAAAATCAATCAGTACTACAGACAGGTAGGCATCCATGCTACTGTGTGTTGGAAATACAGTGGTTTCTTTAGGGGCACTGTGGAAAGAAGCACTGAGCAGAAGTCAGCACATTGTACATGTGCCTTTTGCTGCCACCTCTCTCAAAAACATCTTCACTTTCAACAAATATGAACTAAAAATCAACAAAGCCTTAACAGACCTTTAGAACCCACTTTGTCAGTGTCACAGTGGTTACCTTACAAAGCAAGATCAAGCTACAGGATTTTTTTACCTTTTTGATCTACAAAACAAATTGTATTCCATTTGTTTAATTAAAAAAGTTATTGTCTCCGTGTAATAATGTACTAAATTGTTACTTTTTCATCAGAAAATCATTTCTCTGAGAAGGCTAGTTATATCATCTCATCCGAGTGTTTCATCCAGAAGCAATCCCCTGGGTTAAAAGCCAAAGAAACTGAAATATAGGGCTGCTTGGAGCCCTAAGAGGGTTTAAAGGCTCTGAGCAGAGCAGCTCTGTTTCTCCAGAGCAGTGAACAGAACCCACCTTGGGGCCGGTGGGGAAAGCTTATGCCCATCACAGCCACACACAAGGACAGGGCTCCTGCCTGCACAGCCCAGACATCAGCAGTGGTTTCACTGGAAAGGCAAAGGCTGTGACCAGGGTGTCCCCAGCAGAGCCCAGTGGTGTGCCAAGCCTCTCTTACAGGACGTGGAGAGCTGAGGCAAGAGTGAGCTGGAACACCGCAGTTACATCTGCCAGGAGGGATTTAGCGGAACATGTAAGCCAGAAGTGCTGGCATGACAGTGGCCAGAAAACATTACACAGCAAGATCAAAGTTACCAGAGCAGCTGGTCACGGGTGACCAGAGGTCAATTAAACAGCTGAAATACGAACAGACAAAAGAGTGAGGACACAACAGGTTAGTGCGAACAACGTTCTTGAGAAGGTATTGCTACTTCTTACAGGATGGCAGAAAATTCACACTGGTAAGTGACAGGAAACATGCCCTTAAATCGGCATCCCAGGGAGCGAACACACGGTCAGTGTATCATTCTTATGTCAAAGTGAGTTACTCGGTGACTTTAGACAGAACAACTGCCAGTAAGAGACACGTCACATTTTAAGTGCAAAACATTTTTGGCAAAAGTGAAAAATAGAAAAACCTTAACCAGTACTAAAAAAGTATTTTCTTAAATACTAGCATAGGGCCTGATCCTGCAAGCACACAACTCGGGGAACCCCAGCTGAGTCCAGCTGGAGTTCTGTGCCCTAACACTTAGAGGAAAAGGTCTTTGAATCGCTGTTAGTGTTTATACCTGTTTACATGTAGTGTAAATAATACACACACAAACACATACACACTGTGTGTACATACGTGTGTATTCATGGGTGTGTGCATGTGTGTCTGTGTATCCGTACACACAAAATGGCTCCTGAATAAACTCGAGCTCATGGTTATTTTGAGATGCATCATTCACAGTACATAGCTTCCTGTGGGGATCTTCTGATTACAGGACCTATCCAATGACATCCTGAAGCTACATACTGTAACATTTTAATGCCTTTCAGGTAAAGTTATGAGCAACTGCTCTCTGCCATCAATGGGTCTTCCAGAGAGGATTCAAGTACAGCCAGCCATCACCCTGCAAGAAAATTAAGGAGAGTTTACAAACAAGATTTATAAATACTGGATCTATGTACATCCATATAAAAGCTGAAATAAGACTAAACAACAAGAAGTCACCCCTGTCATCTGAAAATTCTGTGTTTAATGAATTGACAAGTAATCCGGGTGGGAAGGAAAAAAACTTCCAGGGGGAAAGAAAAGCAATGGGAAGGTATAACAGATGAACTGCTGGTTTAAATAACTGCACATACTGGCTAAGGTAACAATTCCCCCAGTCTGTTATTTCCCTTCTGCCTTTCCTGAAGAAAGGGCAAAGACGAACTTAGTAAAATGTGTTGCCTTTCACACAGATGAAACCCAAGACTGTGCTTAAGATGCCCATGCTGAGTTACACTGGATAAATATCCCTAGACTGTGTTCACTTTAGTGTGCTGAGATCAGGATTAGTAGGGGATGTGAGTACGTAGCATTTGTAAAGTACGGGTTGGATTGTACAGAAAAACACATTGCTTTAAGTGCCTAACATTAGGTACCAAAAATCCACATCAAAATAAATGTAACTGAAGAAAAGTGAACAAGTTTATAATATAGACATGAAAAAATCCCTTGCTCTCCTTCAAGAGCCAGACTCTGTCAAAAAGAGAATTTAAAGCACTGAGTGGTACACAACAACACTAGCCCACAGTAAAAGCCACAGACATTCGTACACTTGTACCAGCATCCTCCCCTGTGCAGAAACACACTAAAGGGTCCCTAAAACAAGAGACTCAAAGTACCTCTTTGACAAAATACTTGGGTTTCCAGGGTGTGGTGAGAGCCGCACGCTGCCTCTCCTCTGCCCGCTGCCTCTCTTCCAGGCGGTGCTTGTGTTCCGTGGCTGCATCGATGTTCCCTTCCTTCAGAGAGTTGGTGACGTTCTGCCACAGGCGCCTGGTGATGGAGGAGCACAAGCCACAGAATGAGAACACCTCTGCCACAGCCCAGTGCCGCTGGACACCAATCTGGTGAGCTGCTGCCGTGCTCTCCATGCTGTTCTTTCAGGTCACGCAGCTTGGGAGCCATCGCTGTCCTGGGACATTCATCACGTTTGTGGACCAGATTTTCAGATTTGCTCAACTCCCAGTATTTTGCCATGCAACCTAATTTTCTCACCAGTTTCTGTTTGTGTTCCTGACTCTTGACCATCTGAGCTTTTTTTCTCAAAGAATTTGAGGATTTATTGTATCGTTTCCGGTTCACAGTCTTTACTGATGATCCACCCCCAAATGACAGGCATTTATCCTGTGTTTATTTGTGGTTAAATTTTTCATTTTAAGGGAGTGTCAGCCAAAAGCTGAGAGTGTGTTCAGTTGGGACACTGACTGTTCCCACCAGGCCAGTAACAGAGGAACTGATGCACTGATTCCAGGGAGCCCTTCTAGGTCTTGCTCTACATTCCCAGTTACAATAATTATCAGTACATAGCCAAACGTATTTCTCACACGACTGACCACATTTGAATGCAATGCCTTTTATCAGCCTAGCAGAAACTTTGCCCAGAAAAACACTGAAAAGAATCACAGAATCATAGAATGGCCTGGGTTGGAAGAGGCCTTAAAGATCTCATCTAGTTCGAACTCCTCTACCTTAGGGAAGGACTCCTTTCACTAGACCAGGCTGCTCAGAGCCACATCCAACCTGGTCTTGAACACTTTCAGGGATGGAGCATCCACAGCTTTTCCAGGCAACCTGTTTCAGTGCCTCACCACCCTCACAGTAAAGAATTTTTTCCTAATATCCAATCTAGACCTGCTCTCTTTCTGAAACCAACCACAGTTTTCATAAATTTCCAGGAATGTTTAAATGCATTTCTGTTCACAGTCTGATAAGCTGCAAATCCTGCAGAAACACTGGATGGTTGCAATTTGCTTACTAGTATCTAAAAAATACAATAAATACACTGAAGAGCTACTCGGTTCTTTATCTACTACAATCTCTGTGTTCCAAACTACAGGGGGAAAATGAGTTTGCGGATAAGCAAGCAGTCTTAAAAGTAGAAAAACTATCTGGCCCTGCACAATGACTCAAGACACCTTTGTACAATAAAGAGAAAATATTTACAGATAATAAGTGTAACTCATGTTTTTAAATCCTCCAATAAAATGTTCCTAAATTCAATAAAAGTATTGATTTTTCTGAAGATAAACATTTACAGTTATTGACAGTGAATAACAGAATATGTTTCTTCCTAATGTACCTAGTCAGAGTTAGGCATATGATGTGGGTGCCAAGAGCTTTAAAACCATGAGTTTTTAGTATATTTATAGCTCACATTGCACCACATTTTACATACTTTTATACATATATATATACATATTCTAAAATACATAAAACATTAAATACCAGTTTAAATTGTATTATGCAACATTACTTGCAACAAACTGACTAATTTGCCTACCACGTTGCAATCACCCAAAGAAGCAGGTGAAAACACTGCATTACCACTTTCCAGATACTCATTAACAAATCTGTGCATCTTCCCCATCTATAAAATTTATGTACTCGTCGCTGCAGCGTAATTTATGCTCCGAGGAATCAACACACAGCTCCAGCTCTCTGTGCCCAGAGTAACGTGCTGTGGGAAGGGAGGCATTTTTGAACCACACCATTTATAACTGCAGTTTGCTTCCCTGCTCTGTTCCTGCCCGAGGGTCAGAAGCAGAACACTGTAGTGCCCCTCCCCTTACCTCGATTCCAGCGGGCCTTGCTTCGCGATCGGCCTGATCTTTTTCCTGACAACAGGCAGTTTGTTGGTGTCAATCACTTTGGTGTCTCCATTGCTGTAAGTAAATTCCAGTGTACCATTCCATTCTCCCTGTGCCTTGCACACAATGGTGTTTGTGGGATTGTGTTTCACTTCGGCTGTAACCCTAACTCAAGAGGAAAAAACACCACAGAAATAACTGGTACCATTTATTATCAGCACATGAAAGCGCTACCACAGCTAAGGTTACAAGCAGCTTTCTGCATTTACAAAGCAATTTCTCAAGCAAAGTAGTGACTCTGTCCCTAAAAATGAAAGCCTCATCCCAGGAAAGTTCTTCTAACACAGCAATAGCTTAGGGATGACATTCTCTTAAAGTACAGCAGTAACCCAGCTTAAAACTCTCATACTCTGCTTTAACCCAGAGATGGTTACCTCAGCGACCTGAAAAAAGGGCTCCTGACATTCATGTGATAATTTCAATACACGTTATTTTCACACCTGACCATAATGCTGTCAGAGATCAATGTCAAAGACTTCAGGTACCTTTGTTTTCCTCCTTAGCTCTGCTAGTTTACTTTTCAGCTGCTAAGAGGCAATGATTAAAACTACCTCAGTGGTCCAAGAATTGGTCTCAGAGTCAGCAAAATAGACAAGTAGGACTGGAAAACCAAAATGCAGGGAGTTTTGTATATATGTCTACAAACATGACACATGTGCTTTGGCAAGCCATGTCAAGTAATCTGTAAACTAAATTACCAAACTAACACCACACAACTTTCCCAAATTTTCACTCACCCTGATGGCATGAATTTACACCTTTTAGGAAAAAAAATCTGTCAAAAGAGTCCATGTGGAAATTTGGCTGAACACAACATTGAAATGGTAGACACATGCACAGAAGGATAATTAGACCAACTGAACTAATACAGGGGTAACCATTCAAATGCACAGTCTTCCCATGGACACTGCAGCAGTCCACAGCAGAACAAGAAAGGAGTCTGTGTATGTTAATGACTGGGACATCAACTTGAGCATGGAAGCAAGACAGGAAGCTGTCTTGCACGGTGCCTTTTCACACCCTTAATAAAGGGGAACAAAAGACACCTAAGTAACAGTTTCATCATCTGGAACTTCAGTGTATAAGTGGGAGTCCCCAGGAGGCAGCTACCACTGTGGGCAGTGACACTTTAGCTTCTCTCCAGGAGCTCCACCTGGAATACCAGTTCACCTACAATACTCACACAAAAGCAGCAGCTGATGTAGCAGAAATATCGCCTTTTCCACATGCATTTTTCTAATCCTGCACTTACAACAGCTTTTACAAGCAACAAAGCTTGGAGAGATACATTCACTTTATTTTAATGAGAGAAATACATCCCATTCAGTTAAACATCATAATACGTATAAGTACAATAAACTGTGCTGTAAAGCTGTAAGTCATCTCCAACACTAATAGGAAAAGAAAGTCAGATATCCTTCTATAAAATATTCCACCAGAGGATCTGAAAAGATGCCTTAGAGTCTTTGCATTGAAATCCAGTAGCAGGCAAACAAGAGTAAGACAGTAATTCCCGCACCTGTGGACCTTCCCTCCATAGAACGGCTTGGTGTGGAACGTGACAGTGGCAGAATAGCCTGTTCTGGCACAATTGATGTTGACTTTCCCTCCAAGCTCCACCCATGGGATGGTAAGTATTGAACGAGCATAGGCACTGGGCAGGGTGAAAACATACTCTTCTTCGTGTTCCAGCAAGTAAAGAACACCTGTGTGGGAAGAGGTTAAAAGTGAAGTGATAAACTGATAAAGACCTGACAGTCACTGACCAATTACTGTCATCAGAAGGCACATCCACAGAGAGCACAAGGTGCACCTCTCCTTGGAGGAGGGTAGTGCCTGCTAAGAAGGAAACTCTGCCCTCTGGAACAAACATTTTCCAACAAACTTTTTCAAAAGCATCCCATTTGAATGTGTGCCTTGGGGTCCCATGTGGTACCAAATGGCTTATCAGGAAATCTGGCTGGATCACTCGCTTTGTGTTACAGGCAAGCAATAAACTGTTAAAAGCTGGAAAAATGTAGCATTTTCATGCAAAAAGTCATAGTGAAAAATCAGATCCTCACACAGTGTCACATCATAATCTCTCTCCAGAAAAAAACACGGGCATGCCCAAAGGACTCTTCACTTCTCCATTCAGTTAGACACGACCATGTCCTCTCCATTAATTTCCTACTGATGCACTTGTGGGTGCGAGTGAAATTCTCTCCCTAGGTCTGCGTGGGAAACGTGCCATTTAGCAATTTCCCATTAAGGTTGCTCCCTAATTTTCGAATGTCTGGTCTCCCACACAGCCTTTGCAAAAATCTTACATAACCAAAGAGGGGCCCAACAGGGTCACTGCTCTACTACCACCAACACCAATGTCTCCATTGGGCACAGAAAATTACTGGCAATTCTATCTCATTCTGTAAAGGTTCCTCCATCCTCAGCACGATGAGACTGTAACTAAAAATAACGTGCAACAGCAATAACTTTTCAACGTTATTTGGAACCACAAAGAAAGTTGCGTGCCTTATCAGACCTTAGCTTCCCCTGGGGTTAAGGATACAACTCTATCCCTGCCATAACTGTAGTTTGGTCTTTATGAGGACAGGGCATTGGACCAGGTAAAGAGCACCATAAACCTTGCACACGGAATTAGATCATGCCAAATGTCTGTAGTGTATTTTTTATTAGAGTTTTATAGTCTTTTGTGTCCCATTTATTAAGTGCTTAAAGGCAAAAATGACAGCTTTGATAATATTTTTTCACAACAGGAGCTGAAAATAATCCATCACAGGAAGCACTCAGAACCCAGAAATATTTGAAAAAGAAGAGCAGGAAAGTTAGCTTGACAGAGTATCTGTTTTAGAAACAGGATGAGTTTGAGCCCATTTGCCTTCACCCTGGGGCAGATGGGAAAAACACATTGGTAGTGGTATTGATTAATCTATCTGTTTGAGGGAATAATGGTACTACTTTTCAAAGTGATCTCACATTTAATGATGAAAAAGCACTAAACAGGAACACTATACTACTACTGCCCACACGAAAATACGCCTTTAAAATGCTGTATAAAAACACAAACCTGAAAAAGACATTCAAAATGCAAAAGCACAGAGCTCTAACAGAACCATGATCTTAAATACTGGCTTCTGTTCACAAAACTTAATGCAGGCACTGGAAGGTCTGCAACTTGTCACTTCTGCCTTCTTAAATGGTTCCACAGGAAAACATTTGCAAACCAAGAATGGTTTTATGCAGTTGTTCTCAGAACTTCTGCAACCTCAGCCTGCCAGCAGTGACACAGCCAGCACTCCTACTCCAGCAAGTTCGACACAGATGAGCTGGGGAGCGCAAAAGCACAAACACAGAAAAGTCGTGTCTTAGAAGGACCTTGAATCATTTCACCTTGGCAAGTTACAAGTTCCTCGTGTCATGTGCTGAACCCTCACCAGCAGGGAACAGTCAGGAGGACACAGCTGGAACACACACACATTTTGCCTCAAGCTTCTTTGGCACCCTATCTGCAGGCAAATACAAGCTGAACACAATGCAGGAAGGCTGAACCACACAATTCCATCTGGATACCTTTCACTGGATCAGGTCGCTCAGAGCCACATCCAACCTAGCCTTGCACACTTCCAAGGACAGGGCATTCACAACTTCTCTGGGCAACCTGTTGCAGTGCCTCACCACCCTCACAGTAAAGAATTTTTTCCTAATATCCAATCTAAATCAGTTTTCTTCCATTTAAAGCCATTCCCCCTTGTCTTCTCACTACATGCCCTTGTAAAAGTTATCTTCTCATCTTTCTTGCAGGCTCCTTTCAGGTACTGCCTGTGGTGCCACCCATGAGGTCATGTCTCCCCAGTATTAATAGTTTGAGCACAGTCCTCACACCATGAAAAGTCACTGTCTGCCCAAAAGTATCAGCTTCTGACATGATGATTTTGTTGTTGCAACGTTTGTGTTTGTTGTTTTTTTAAAGACAAAAGGTCTAATAGCAGTGCTGTGGGCAAATGTGACACTCACTTCTGGGGGAGAACCTCACTGCATTTATGAACCACACTTTCACAGGAACTTCTCCAGAGCCTCCTACTTCCTTGGGCCCTGCCATCCTCCTCTGACCATCACTGCATGTCCCCACGTGAGAGGAGACCGGTATGATTAACACAATTTCCTTTTGGGTGAGTATAGGTTTGCTTTTGTCGCTCTGATGGGATCAATAGCTTTTTCCTCCCTACTTGAGTGGGAGGGATGCAGAGCTGTAATGTACACTGCCAAGCACATTAAAAGTGAAGAGCAAACAGCAGCAGTGACCTTCAATGTAAATATTTAACCACCACAGCAGGTTGGATATTAAAAACTGAATCCAGCTCTCTTGGCAGTATTTTTAGCACCTGGTGGCATATTTTTTTAATTCCTTAAACACCTGAATACATACATTTTTAAATGCAGTGCTATCTCACTTGAAATACGACTCCAGCTCAACAATTCTAATGAAAAAGAGATTAAAGGGCAGATATGAAATACCCACAACTTGCTAATACTTCTAGTATTAACCTGACTGTTAGCTTTGCATTCCACTGTTTGCAGAGTTCACATGCAAAACCCTCTTTAACTGAAGCACCATGAACACTGTGGCTGCACCACATTGTCTGAACGGTGACCTGTGGGGAAGAGGAAGCCAAATTCTCACTGAGAGGTAACACTTATAACCAGTGCCACAAGAATTCACACCCTACCCTGCTGCATTTTAATCTTTAGAATTTAAAAGCAGAAGAACTAAAACCTAACAGCTGCTTTAAAAAATGTCTAATTTTAACATCTGCTGCTAAGTGTCACTACATTGCAACTGTAGTCGCGATCTTTAAAAGTATCTGCTGGAAAATACACAGGCTCTTTTTTTCCCCTTTGCTTCCCTGTGGTAAGGGATTATTCATGTTTAGTTTAAAATTGGTTGTAAGTAAATACACGGAAAAAGTTGTAGAAGATTATCCCATTTTCAGTTTTCTCCTCTCACATTGAAGAATTCTTTGGAAATCTGCAAATTCTTTTAAAAAAATCTGAAGTATTTATAGGCAGCTATTATGCTTAGAAGAATGCACCAGATCAGTACTCTGGGAGGAACAGTGGATTTCATAGTCTAGTTTATTAGAAATAAATGCACAGAGAAGAGTGAATTTTTTATAAACAAGTGCAGATTTTGCATTTCCCCCTTGATATGTCCTCAACACTATTTACCCCTCCTTTTGAGGGGTGTGTATTCAGAGTCACACTCCTTTCCGTGACTCCTCAGCCTGCATTAAAGGAAGAGATGATCCCGGCATATCATTTTCCCAGTTTGACTCTTATATGTCCCTCAGTGATGCTGCAGCTTTGTGAATTGATTTTCCAGTAACACATATTGACAAAAAAAACCCAGAGGAGGCTCTGGGTCAATAAGCTGCAGAAGAGGCATGTGAAATTTAATGCTTCCCACTGACTGTATGGAGATCAATCCAAACAGCAAATAGTACGTGGGACAAAAACGGCCCAGGGCAGTTTCCTGATTTAAGAAGCTCTTCACTCTCTCTGCACTATTCATAGCAGGGCACTAAGAGGAGTAAGTTCCATTTGGGATGAGCCCCACATGGGAGCAGTGCATCACTCCTGTGCAGAGTCACATAGGAAAAAAGGAGATGCCAGAACTGGGCTCTTATCATCTCATAAACATTCCAGCCAGATGTGTTGCACTGCTCATTTGTCAAAGACTGGGGCCATTTGCTAAATTAAGTAATGAGGGTCATGCTATATGGAAACTGTTCTGAAACCACTGGCCTAAAAAATATTAACTCAAAAATGAGTACTTAGGGAAATAGCTCTAGTTGCACGGAGCAATTAATCTTTGGGACTGGTAAATTAAAAAGCCACTAATTTCTCAGGACTAGAAATTATAGACCTGTACATCTATGAATACATACATATCCATACATTTGTACAGAAGGGGAAAAAAAAGAAATAAAACCCCATACATTGCTTTCTTTGAGATTTGCCTTGTAAAGAGCATTGAAGCTTTTCCCTACCCATCAAATCTTTTCAGGGTTGATTTCAATTTAGAAAATAATTTTTAGAAGCCTATACCTCACTAGTTTTTAAAACATTTAAAATAGCAGGAGCAAAAACACCAGACATAACTGGTCACTTGATAATACAGAGCAATCCACTTAAATGTACTTTATGTTCTCTGCAAAATTAACCCATGAATCAAAGATGACACTTTTTGTTGGATTTTGCTGCTTTGGAACAAAACCGAAGAGCAGAAAAGGAACAGGCACAGCCCACACTGAGGTGTGCTCACCATGGTTGTTTCCAGTAAAGCATCCTTGCCCTACAACCACAGCATGTGTTTGAAGATTCTATGGAACACATAAAAAAACCTATTAAATATTTACATTGACTCTCCTATCCCTTGCTAATTTAAATCTTAATGTGATCCTATTCGTTACAGCCTCTTCTCCCCCCTCACACTCTCATTAGGATATAATTAACATTAACCAGAATTAGGGACTGTGCAGGCAACATGAAGTCTTTTATGCAAAATAACCCCTTTTCTATTCAGGGTAGCTTTCTCATGAGGAAACGCAGTGCTGACTGCTCTGAAGAATGGGGGTTTTGTTATATAGTGAAGAAAAAGTTGAGACATTTCATTAGCAAGCCAGATTTAGACCCCTCATAACCAGAGATGAAGAAAGGTTAGCATATAAATCAGCTAAAACATGGATTTCCAGCAGTGTTCTCCTACTCATTCTGCATCTCTGCAACTGATACTTATTCTGAATCAACAACAAAAAACAAGAAAGAAAAAAAAGGTGAGTCACTTTGAGGTACAATATACACAAAAAATCATATGAATAAGATACTGAGCTGTACCCTTTGTATGACAACACCATACTGTCCTTAAATACCCGAATTCTTTAAATTCCTTTAGAAATCTTTGTATTGCCATGACTCCCTATGTCAGCTTCCAGTAACAAAGCACAAAAAGCAACTTGCTCTATACGTCTAAGGACATTCTAAAAAAGTATCATTAAAAACCACTACAGAAACATTACCAGCATATTCCTTATACACTATGGGTCCAAAAATTCCATTCTACTTTATTTCTGTAAATAACCACCTGCAGCAGAAAAGGCTTCATTTAAATGTTTGAAGGACACACACATACACAACATTATTCAGTAGGGAGGAAAGTTTCAAAACACACCACAGTTGTTTGTACTCAGCATTAAGGTCACAATGAAGTTTCAGGTCATCATCACAGCATCATCATAGAATGGTTTGGGTTGGAAGGGACCTTAAAGATCACCTAGTTCCAACCCTGCTGCCATGGGCAGGGACACCTCCCACTAGAGCAGGTTGCTCAGAGCTTCATCCAGCCTGGCCTTGAACACTTCCAGGGATGAGGCACCCACAACCTCTCTGGGCAACCTAGTCAAACAAAATTGTTCTGATACATATCTGACTAGCAAAAGATGGTCACTCTCTAACACTGAATTATCCAAAACATTAGTTGCAGCTCTGTTTGGAAGGAATTTACCCAACAATAGCATATGACTAGTTTGGCCATCCAATGCACACTAGGCGGAGGAAAAAAAAAAAAAAAACAAATAAACAAAACCCAGGATTTTCTATGATTCATGAGATGTTACTTTGTCTCTTATCAAAAGCAGGATCAATCATACTTCATTCCCAGAAAACTCAATCTGCTTCTAACACTTTAAAGTAAGATTCTATAAGCTTACCACCCTACCTTGGTGTGAGAAAGTTTCTCCTAAGAGCTAACTTTAGTTTTTACCTACCTTAACCAGCTTCATATACCTTCTGACTCACAATGTGTCTTTCCACAGTCTAGATCACTAACTTTGGTAGACTAACTGACCCTACATGAAATGCTGCAAGCCTAAAGTGTCCCTAAATACAAGGAAAAATCTCCAAATTATATCTTCCATTAAAAAATTAGGCCTTGCATTACCCAACATGGTTTTCCACATTTTTAGTCTAGTAGTTACTTTTTTTCAGTTCAGCAATCTATTCTCCAGTACTGACGCTGACCTCAATCTACTACAGAATTTATACTTATGCAGCCCACGAAAAAGAAGCATCTGCAGTAGAGCCTAATTTTTGCACAGCTTGACAAATCTGCACACCAACTTAATTAGGAAGACTTCCGTGGGACTAAAATAAACAAACAAAAAAATTAAAGGAAGTGCAGTTTCAAGTGAAGAAACTGCACTGCAAAAGCAAGGATTTTGAACTGAGGCTGTCAGGCTTAGGCTGGTTGTTTTCAGATGATAGAAGAGCTTCAGCAGTACCACTTCTTGTTGCCCACTGCCAGTCCTCAACACACACCAAAAATGCTTGGGCTGCATTGGATTTTCTCCACCACTTCCCAGAAATGCTGTCATTGTGGAGTTGCATGCTTCTGTGCTGCTTCCATGAATAAAAAAGATGAATGATAACTACAAACTGGTGAACCCAAACTTCCTCCCAGAACGTCCATCATAAAGACAGCAGCAAACCTTGCAATAAAACAGTTCACCATTGCAGATGTTCCCCAAAGCCTGGCCTCCACTCCTGGGATATCTCCAGGATCAGGAAAAAAAAAAACCAAAAAGGGGGACAGGGAAGAACTTATTCTCACAAGCACACATTAAATAATCCTTGGTGTAGCAAAGTGGTTAATTCTTAGACCCTTTTTCTCTCAAAACTGGGACACATCAGGACTTTGAAGTCTTAAATAATCCCCACAGTAGACACCCTCAGTCCCAGGGAACTGTGTGTGCTAGCAGAGAGAAAAAGAAATTTCCCTACTCCTACATAATTATAAGTGACTTTATGTTTAATTTTATTTCCATTAAATAGTTCCCTTCACTGAGCACTAGCAAAAGAGTACTAGAAACGAACATGTAGCAGAAAAATGGAGCAAGCTAAGCCAATGACTCAGGCTGGCAGTAGTACAGATAGGAGACTGACAGAAAGACCAATTTCCTTTCTGACACTCCCTTTAACTCTGCATTAAATGCAAAATACCTAAATCACAGGAAGAAGGAAACAGCCATGCTATTACAGACTTTATCACAATTATATCAAATCCAGTAGTAGGGAAGTTTCATATCTCTTCTACAAAAAAGGGAGTATATTGCCATCAGGACAGAAACTACTGTCGTTCTTTTTGCTGTTTGAGTTTGTTCATTAGTTCTAGTTGGTAGAAACAGCAGAATATACCTGTATGTTTTCACCATAATTGTTTCGTTGTTATGAATCAGCAAAACCAAATCACTGCATTTTCCACTCACTTTTTTACTACCTTTTAAGATCATAGTATTTAGCATAATGGTGGCAAAAAGAAGCATTTACTGTAAGCTGTCCTTGTACTTCTGAGACTACAGCCTAAAAACTGATTAAGACAAAACAGCGAAAAACCACACATAGGATCTTACCCTCAAAGAGATTTAGTCTCTTAGCCAGAGACTAAATTGCCTAGAAACACATTCCTGCTGATGCATTAACAGTCAGTAAGGACACTAGTACAGGTGTGTTTATCAGTTCACATCATCCATTAAGTATTTGCTGATTCCCTGTATTTTTGAATTCAAGCTGAACAAGGACTTGTCACAAAGCAGAATAAATATGTGGGATACAGAAAATCACGATTGGGACATCTACTACCTGACTTTCCAGAAGGCTTGAAAGAATATCCTAACCTTGCAAACACTACAGCAATCATGATTCTTTGCTGAAACTATGAAAATGAATGCTAGGCTTATGTAAAAATGTGAGGTTTTCCCATTGGTTTGTTCCAGTTGGGAATACCAAATCCCATGTTATTTTAGAAGTAAGACAAATAAAAATATTCTTAGAGAATACACTGTCAGTAGCCATTTGCTACTGCAACTTAGTACAGCCATATATGTATAAATCCATTAACAGACTCATCAATATAAGCACACATTTATACACATAATGTGAAGTTCACATTCTGTCTGGATAGAATAAGGTTATATGAACCCTTTATGAAGTTTTAATTCCAAACTTCACAAAAGCAAACAGTCATAAGATTAAAATGAAAGGTCAGAGGGAGAGGAAGCAAGAAAACATATGGACTTGTGTGGTGTTGAAACCCATAATATCAGCTCAAAAAAAAAAAATAATAAAAGTACATTTCTTACCTTCACCTACCATAGAAACACCTATTGACATGCCCATAAACTTGCTTTTGGTCCATACGTGAGCATTCACACACATTTTCTTCTCTTTGCATTCACAATAAAAGCAAGATACCGGCGGATGATGGGACACTTGTTCAGCTACAAACCTCAGCTTGTAGCACGCGGACTGGTCCTGGCCAAACTCCTTGGTTGGGTCCTTAGAAACCGTGGAGGTACCATTAGTTCTGAATGCTTTCACTTTATCTTTAGGCACATCCCACGAGCAATGAAAGGTTTCACCAATTATAGGGTTATAGGGTTTCTTGGCAACTGCTCCCTTTCGGCCTTCGTGAAAAGCTGTTAGATAATACTCCACAAAGCAGATAATTCTTTCCTCGGGAGTGGTTCCAGCTGCAATTGACAAAAACAGGTCTGGATGGGCCATGAAATTTGCATACATCTCCAGCAGGGATCTTTTCTCCAAAATAAATGTTGGAAGCACTACCTGTATGCAAAGCAGACAAAGGCAGATATGATTTCCCCATCATCACACTACCAGGGGGGAAAGGGGGATAACAGTTAGGAGAGCTGCAAATTCTGGCCCTGCCACGTTTTGGGACAATGTATTTTCTTCCCATGCCACAGCAATTTAATTTCCTTTGCAGTGTAAATAATGAGTGAAGGAAAAAGCAGTGGCCTTGATACCCATGCAGGCTGCTTCCTATTTCATTATGATCTCAAGAGTAGCTCACACAACAGGGATGGGCTATTCCGCTCACATGGAAATCTGCCTTTTCCTCTCCTCTCAAGTGAACAAACCAGCCATTGTTTTCCTTGTTTACAGAACACAAAAACATACTTTGATATAAACTAATTTACTTCAAACATCAACAAAACAAACAAATCAGAACCCTCTGAAATAGGAGGGACACACCCTCCCAAACTAACAGAAGATTAGTATTTTACATAAACATGCACATCACCAACCTCTAAGTGGAGGAGAGTGTAAGGAGTACATCTATCCATTCTGTCTAACATTTGGGTTCCACATTTCACTCCTGGGTCCCTGACTACCCACTACATACGTATTAGGTCCCTTCCAGCCTAACTAACAAACCAAGCCAAGGAGATCCAACCAAAACCAAATCTCAACTGTATTTCCAAGGATAAAACCATTCCAAGGAACCTTCCCAAGAGGCTACTACAGGCAAGAAAATGCTGCCCTTTCAACTCCCTCTGCCCTACACTGTCATGCCTCCTCTCCAAGTCAAATTCCCTGTCACCCCTAAGGTCTCCTGTCACCCCCAGGCCCACCGCACATCCCCTCAGTCTGAGATGGTATCATGTTACTGTGGTAGGCCCCTGCATGGCTTCCTCTTATTTCAGACAAGTTGAAACAAAACCTGCACAAACTGTTACATTCATATCCTGGTACTAGAGAGGCTCCAGAGGGCCCAGAAAAAAAACAGGGACTGAGCACACTATTCAGCCTGCCCTGGAGGACGCCGGCCCCAAGTGACTTGGAGTCTGGAGTGCCTCCTCTGGCAACGCAGATGTTGCCAAAGTCACTCACTTGACAATAACACTTTGTTAGCAGTTTCCAGCGAAACATCCTGGAGGGCACTGCAAGACAAACAAGGGCTACAGGACACAATTTATTTCTCTCCCATGCCTCACACTTTATGCAGGACTGTCCCAGGGGAACTGAGTGGCTGCTGCCACTGGCAGCACTGCATGGTAAGATACACAGGCATCCCCAGAAATGCTAAGGCAGTGGAGAGAATTCAAAAAAAGTTTATTTAGAAGGCCAGAACAAAAAACCTACTGCGGTCTGCACACCGGGCCTCGGGGAACGAAAGGCAAGCTCCCACCCCCTCAGGGCCCTTTTTATCCTGTTTCTCCCTTGCCTTCCCAAGGCCTCGGTGTATGTCTGTTAGGGCTATCTCTGTCTTCTCATGTACCAGAGTGCAAAGCTGTGCAGGGGTGGGGGGGAAGGCATTGAAAGTCCCTTTAAGAAAGAGTAACCATTTAGGCAGAAAGCCTTCCTAGCGAAAATCGAGTTCTACCTTTCTGTTCTAAATTTTTCCAAAATTGTATCTATTCCCACACACACACAAATTTATCTTTAATCAAAGTGGTTCAATGATGACAGATGCAGACCAACAGTTATCCTCTATTAAAGCAGTTCTTCTGCTTTCCTCTTTAATTCTTCATTGCATTTACTTTTTCCCTTTCCCAAAAGCAAGGGTTTTTTTACAGCAGGCAGGGAGCCACCCTTCACTACAAACACATTTGCTTTCCCCCTTGCTGTCCCAGCTTGCTATTCTAAGCGGGACCAAAGCACAGATCAGTCCTTTTGGATCCTGTGGATCATGAAATAGAAGCTGTCAAACTTTTATTAATCATTCAGTTCTTTTCAAAGAGAACTCAAACACTGAAAAAGAATTCCAGTCACAACAGCTTGAACACAGACTTTACAGCTACACAGTAAGTCACTGTACCTCCAGTGCAAAGAGAGAACTGCTCTGTTTGGTAACATACAGAGAGAGCTCATTCGCTCTCTCCTTCTGTATATTATATTTACACACAGTCTTTTATAGGCTAATAATTTTTTACAAGTTTAGACATAAATCAAGCAATGTTCCATCTGTAATATTCCTCTGACTCTACTCTGTAAGCCTTAAGGACTCTACATTGTTTCTGCTACCAACCTAATGAGGCCTCAGAAGATGGAAGATCTTAATTTTACACTACATGTGGCAAATTACTGAGTGCCAAAGACAGCCTACAGTCCTTAGGGTGGTGTGACAGCAAGGGGCCAAGGAGATTGGTTTTTAGGAGTGAGATCCAAAACTCTGGAAGGCAAAGCAGAAAGACAGTAGTTTTTCTTATTTTTAGCACTTTAAACAATTCCATCTTATTTGCAGCATTCTCATTCTGACCAAATATTCATTACCCAATATAATCTTCGAAAAAATGCAATTCAGCAATTGAGATCCTCAATTCAGCATCTCATTTTAATATAAATTGTACACTAAAAGATCAGGTTATCAGAGGGGAAAGTGACAGCAAAACATGTAAAGAACTCCCCATCACTTCTGTCTAGAAATACCAGTAGTGCCTATCATGAGTTCACGGCAGAGACTTGAAAGGGCAAACTCATTTGAATAAACAGCACTCTGCATCTCGTTATGTCCAAGTGCCTCTCCCTAAAGACAGTGACCTTTATTAGCACAAAGAGAAGAAAACTGCAGACCATACTTAAGATTATGCAAATGTTACGGTACAACATCAAGACTGCTGTGGTTTCATCCTGTTGACTTGGTCACAGAGTCTTAGTATCTACTCTCTCAAGTCCTAGCTGTGTGCTTTGCAGTTAAGTGCTTAACACAGCTACACCAACACAGTCACTAAATCAGACATTACAAATCACTAGACTTTTATTATTGAGTTTCAAGAATCTATTTAAAATCTGAATAAAGCTTGAATCCAGCTCAAATGATCTTGTCTTAAAAGCCCAATGTAGCTGGAAACTACATGCTTAATTGTAATGGGAAAGGACTGAATTGTTTCCACACACAGAGGTAGAACTACACATTAAAAATACTTGAGTTTTAAAGCTTACACAACTCCAGTATTCCAAAATATGCCTACAAAACTCTGCCTTTTACTGAATAACTGATAGCCTCAAAGTTTCAGTGTGCAACACCATCACTCAATAACATACTAAAACCCTAAAAAAACCTACTCCAGTCTTTTTTAATTGGCCCTATCTTGATTTCTGCAGAAATAAGAAAGCTGGAAATAAACAAATTTGGAAGTATACAGCATTATTCTTGCCAGCACTGGACTCCCATGCACTTGTGCTAGCACTTCAGCTTCCAAAGGCATGAGGTTTTCAACTCTTTTGCAGCCAGACAGAATTCACTGTCCAGAAAAATACACTTAGGACCTATATTCTTTATACAGGCTTTGGACTGGACTAAAAATTTTTTTTTTTTTGTAACTGCATAAGAAGTCAGAAGTGCCTAATATTTTCCTCTGAGAAAAAGCCAGCATGACAATCAATGGGGAAAAAAACCCTCTCTACAATAAATATCAAGTTGCTGAGCTCTGAAGCAAAAAATCTCCTGACTGCATTTTAAAATTTTAGAATAATCTCTGTTCATATTATTTCTCAGGCTTCAGGTGAAAAGGAAGCAGTTTAAGAGGCATTCCTCTGTTTTCATTGAGGTTAAGAAGGTGATATTGGCTCAAAACTTGACTATACCTCCTAGGTTTGAATTCACCTATACTTAATTAGGTCTGAATGCAACTGAGAAAAAGAGCACTACTTCTTACGAACAGAGATATTTATCCCCACTGCCATTTACCGTGAGGTAAAACCTGGGTGTCAGCACCACTCCCTACCCTTTTCAGAAATCTGACCAAGGTACCTCATGCTGAGATATTCTCTTGGAAGTATAAAAGCTTTCCACTGTCATCTGTGTCACTGTGGGAATAAAATAAGCTATTTTCACGATACTTATATTTTTAAATTACAAGGTAAAAGTATATTAGCAAGCAAAGTAAAAACTTCTGACATCACGAACATACTACAGTGTTAACAGTAGTTGATATTCTGCAGAATTACTGGCAGCCCTTTTAGACAGAACGGTAACCCTTTATTTTTAGCACATATTAACTGCGTAGGGAAGGTGAGAGAATGCAGGGAAGTGATCATCCATCTGTACAAACTGTTAGCATTAACTGCAATCCATTAGATGCCATTTGCCAACAAATCTATTAGGCTGTTAGTGGGTTTTGGTATTACTTTCCATTTTTTAGAAGTCTTAAGAATAAATCACTTAAAAACTTAAATTTTTTCCCCAGCAATTCCAATTTTAAATGAGGTTTAAAGTCCTAGCCTAGTCCGAGGCATCTGTTCTGTACTACGTTCTGTTGCTGTGAACTGTTCCCCCACCCAACTCTCTCTAGCAGCTGTTGACGTCTATTTGGCCACACAGATTTGATACTTCATTGCAAGTGTTTTCCTTCACAGTAGTTTTTACTGTTTAACTCCTCATTAAAAGGTGCAGTAGCATGACATATTCCAGAAGTGAAGCACCTCCACAACACTAAATGTGGCTCTCATCACTGGGAAACTGCCGTCAGCAGAGGCAGGACCAAGGCCAACATGAGCCATCACCCTGTTGGAAATGGAAAAGATGCCATTTCCTCTGATACAGAACATGAAGGTAATGATCCTGCCTGCATCCAGAACTCAAAGCTACCAAGGGCTCAGAAAGGCAGTTCATTTATTCATCACGTAGCAATCCACAGCTCACAAAATCACCCAAAGAAAGAGCCCTAAGGAAGAAGGCAAAGGAAAACGGAAACATGTAAAACATCCTCTGATACTAGGTAAGCACTGTGCTACAACCACTTCCAGCAGAAGCTGATGAGCATCAAGGTGATCTAAAATCTGACTTTCAGAGGAATAATGAAAAAATGAGGAGAGGTGCAGCCAACAAACCCAGCTTTATCGTCACATGTCTGTGGCCCTAAGGGCCTCATGCCAGTAAGCAAAGTTGATAAAAAAAAGCAGCCAGCTGTCCTGTATTTTTTTTTTAATCCTCAAAATGGGCAGAAAAGTGATGTGCACATGTGACATGTCTCATTAATACTTATCATATGTGTATTCGTGCATCACCCAGACTACAGATAGATCTAACTCCGCCATATGCCTGTTTCACTTTTCAGAGTGTGGATATTATACACAGACATTTATGCATGCTAATATTCTGCCACACTGTGCATCTAATAACATTTACCACTATCCTTAAAAACTGTGCTCTAAGAACACTATATAAGAAATAGGTTATCATATATATATTTACATTAACTCTGTGCCTTTGGGGTTTTTGTGACAAAAGGATGACATTGGAAATCAGGAAAGAAAAAACTTGTTCATTACCAAAGACAAAATGTTTTGAAGACACAAGAACTATGGATAAGAAATCTTGGTCTAGTTTGAACATTATGGACTCAGACAGCCTTAGCAAACCAACACAGAAAAGAGGGACAGCTAAGAAAAACAAAACCAAAAATGAACAGTATATAACCCCAGACATACTAAGTGACAGGTATATGAACAAGTGAAATTATGAAATTTATGTTCTATTTAGGACAAAACATTAATTTCTGTGCAGCTGTTCGATAGCTATACTTAGCAAGAGAACAAGGGATTGCTCAGTCTTAAAAATTTAGGTATTTTTAAACACCGTCAATTGTTCCAGAGGAAGACTATATTGAGAAAACCTTATTTTGTAAGAAAGTTATAGTAAAAATAGATTTTGAATAATATGGAAGATGAAAAGGAAAGCAGATGAACTCTTTGGAATATCAAAACGCCCATGAGAACAACTTCCTGCAAAGCTACTTCATGTGCAAGGGAAATTCTCTGGTCATTCCAAAACATTATATTATTTGTGGAGAGTGTGTCAGAATCAACTCTTCTTCTTTGTGCCAAGTGGGTTATAGAAGTTTTATCTGGGGGTTTTTAAGTAGAAAACCCTTGTGGAAGGAAAGGGTATTCCATATCTGTACAAAAATCCACTTGATTATTTTTTAAGCCCATGAGATTTCACCGGAATGCAGGACTATTCAAAAAGAAGCATCCTCTACTTTCAGAACATCTACCTTATTTCCAAAACTTTAAGGACTTCAGGGAAAATTTTTCAGACACTGTAACTTCTCTGATCACATTACTATGGATAAGCTCATGACAAAACTGGTTCCAGGACCAGGGGGATGTACAGAAGGGTTAACTAGTGAGCTACTTAGCACAGACAAAAACAGTGACAGACTGGAGACAGTAATTTCTTTACCATCATGTGGGGTTTTTTTGAAGCTGACATGTAATTAAATGGAATCCAATCCACAAAACAATAACATAAGCACGTATCTCCTTCATCCATACAACTGCCATAATTGTTCCTCAAACCCTCAGTGCACCCTGACTTAACACACATGTGGGATATATACATGACATACGGTTGCTCTGAAAGACTTGCAAAATAATAAGCAGGAGTCTGAGAGGTTTTTTAATTCTTCTTTTTTTCTTTCCCTCACCCTTCATCTCTAAACATTTGATGTGGTCACTTTATGTAAAAGCCTGCCTTGGAAGAGACAGCACTCCAAAGCTCTCTGGAACCACAGATTTATAAAGGTGAAATTCCTCATCCATAGGGGCAAAACACTCTCACAGGAACTGGACATGCACACACACACAGAAGGACGAGAAGAAGAAATAATACTAATAAACAAACATAAGAGAGATACAGTGTTCGTACCCTGGTAAGGTCCATGCCAAGTTTGAGCTGAGAGATAAGATGGAGAATTACACTGCGTTGATCATCCATGACTCCTAAATCCTCCTCTTCATTATCTTCAGTATCTGTCATTTCATCTTCAACTAGGATCAACTCAGAAGCTGAATGCTGAAATGAAAAGAAACGTCACAATCTGCACAAAATGATACAGATGAGGGTTTTCCCCCACTACATATGTTTAAAAATGGACCTGTCTCAATGGAACTAAAGGCAGCCCCTGTTAAAACCAAGAAAACATACAAATTCAAAATAAACAAAAAAATCCAGTGATAGCTTCATAAAGCATTTTGACCCTTTCTTCAGAATGAGACTAGTAAATGGCCAGTCTTCGCGAGCGAAGATCCAGGGAAGGTCTTTACACCTTCCAGCCTGCGCATTGGATTTTTTAGGTGAGACACAGTGTGCGCGGAACTGAGCCCACCCTTTAATCCTAAGGTTCATCTGCTGGGGCCAGGTGAGCTTGGACGGTGGCAGCGAGGTCCTTAGGACGTAGGTGGGTTGCCTACAGGGCTAATGAGCTCCATCTGCCCGGGAGTGGCCCTGAACGGGAATCGAACCCGGGTCTCGGCAGTGACAGCGCCGCGCCCTTACCACTAGACCACCAGGGGCTCCATGAGAGTAGTATCAGATGCTAATTTACACATTATCTTCTCATATTTATATTGCAGTGATGCCTGATAAAAAGCATAGCATATAAAAGTAATGAGTCTTTTTATTAAACAGAAGTACACAGCTGAAAATGAGTTTCCAAGTTTGTTTCATAAATCTCTCCAGCAAATATCTGCATGTCATACATAGATGTTGCATGACCTGATTTCACACTTTTTTTTTTAATTTTCTCTATCCAACTTACAAGTTAGATATCTAAGAAAGTCGAGACTATTAACTGAAGGAAATAAAAAGACAACTATAATCAAAGAACACACCTTTGCAAAAAACCCAAAGACATTAGATTTTGGGGGGATAGGGCAATGCTATAAGCCTTTATGACATTCTCAACGCTTTGCCACTTCACAGCACAGCGCCAATACTGTCAAGTTTCCAGAAATACAAGGTGAAGATCAAGAGAGAGATACACTATGTCATCCCCTTCAGGAGGAGTTTTATAGCAGAAAGGGATCATAACTTGTGATATTTTCATTTTCCTCAGGTTTTACAAAGCATTACTAAGAATAATCCGAACAGGTGGTAGTTACTTTGTTCAATCCATTGAAACCATTCTGCAAGCCTTCCAGCTATGTATTCAAGTAAGCTTCTTGTACTTCAAGGGGAAAAAAAAAAAAAGTTGGGTTATGTAGCTGAAAAATTACAGCCTGGCATTTCATTATCGCCCAAGGATTCCGTGCTGCAAATGAGACAACAGTCCCTGCAAAAGTTAGCATTCTGTCATGCTGAACAGCGTTTCTGCAGAAACAGCCAGTTCATTACATAAAATGACAAATTTTTCATCTCGCTGAGAAAGTCCACGCAACTGAAAAGTTTCACTAAAACCGGCTGATACCCAGAACTAGGTTTTAAAGAAATATTTCTGAATGGTCACATTAAAGACTCTTACACAGCAGCTTTTGTAAGGAGAGTTTCTCTGAAATTTAGTTACTACAGATGTTTCCAAGATTTGAATGAAGTATTTTCTTTCTCTCCTTTTTTTTTTTTTTTTAATTACATAAAGGTTTAGGTAGCTATTCCCAAAAGAATAGCTATTTGGTGAAACTCAAGGACATCTGCAAGATACTTTGCAGTTGCTTTATTTAGAAAATAGAATATGTAGATTACATAAAACAGAATCTGGTGAGCTGTAACCTCAACAGCTTGGAGCTTTTCAAAAGGACAAAACCCCACTTTCTTCTTCCCACTCCCTCAGAAAATAAAAGGAGAGAACGATAAGCCCTTTTCTCCCAAAATGCACAGCATTATTATCCAAGTGACGCCTCACTGACAAGTTCAATTAGCATAAAACCTGACAACCTCGTACAAAACTATCAGTCAGGGAGGCATAAGGCACCGAAGCCTGGCTCAGTCGTACATTCATTTGGAGGGAGCGTGGAAAAAGAAGTATCAGAACTTACAGTAGATGCTTCCACAGGAGGCTTCCCTTTGATCCAGCTTGACCTCATTGAGAGCACTGAGCTACCGAATAAGCTCTACTGCTTCTGCTACTGCCATGAACTGAGCTTGCGGCAAACAAGCTCCAGCAGGAATTAACAGCGCTAGGAAAAAAAAAAAAGCCAGGGAACCTCCCCTTCTCATTCCCACCCCCTCTTTTTTTTTTTTTTTTTTCCCTTTTTTTGCTATCCAACGGGTTGGAGAGTGTGCACCAGATAGCAATCTGCTCCTTGAATTTCCAGTCACATGGCATTGAGATCAGTGAGCTTAACTGCACACAGCTCCAACTGGGAAATGGTGCTGCTGTTCCCAGAGGATATCCTGGTCAGCTGTTCTCCGGGAGGGAGGGGAAGGCGCAGGAGTGTGCATGAGTGTGCACAAGTGTGAGAATGAAAGAGAACGTGCTAGCGGGTAACATACTTTACAGCAAACATATAACGGTTGCATAACCTTTAGTTGTTAATAGCTTCAGAAAACAAACAAATCACCCATTCACAAGTCTGCAAAATACATCATATACTGAAAATTTTCTTTTTTGCCTCAAGACTGCATAGTCACCCAGGGACAGAAAATCTTTCTTTCCTGCTAAAATAGGTATTAGATTTTCCTTTCAAATGTTACTAACAAAACAGCAACTGCCTCTCATTGCTACCCTACAAAAGGTCCATGGTCAGGGCAAGCCATCCTTTAAACAGTTTAGGAACAGCTCAGGAAAGTAGCATTTGCATTGTTGTAAATGAAAGACTTTCTGCTGATCAGGGAGGATTAAGTACAATGTAACATTAGACTCAATCATGTATAATGACCATACTACCAGGACTAAAATTTTAATTACCTTTACTATCCCTATTTTAAGGACATGTGCAAGGGCACCCAAAAACCCACAAGTCTACTGTTATATAGTGTGTTATCAACATTCGAGTGACCTTCAGTGAACGACAGCAGTTGTCTGCATATTTTAACACTTCACAAGAAAAAGAATTTAAAGAAGCAGTTTACAATTTATGCCACAGGAACTGAAGAGTCATCTTCAGCAAGCAATATCCTTTCTGCATTTTCCTCTCTCCTCATTAGTTTTTCTAGGTAACTACTAAAATGCTTTTTAGGAGCACATACAATACATTTCTTTAACTAACACATATTTTCTTTAAAAAAAACCCAAACATGTAAGCAACACATGGGGTGAGGTGACATACAGTCACAAAATACAAACCTAGTGTACCTTTAAAGTGTCATAAAAGTCTTTAATTCTTTTTCTTTCTATGAAAATAGCGCGCAGTTTAGTAGTATCCAGTGCGTAAGCATTCAACAGAATGTAAAAGATTACATGGAGTGATTATCCTTTAATGGCAGCTTTTCTGAATTATCAGACACAAACATACTTTTTTTTTTTCTCCCCTGTTCCTGTAGAACACAATTGCAAAACCGACCTAGGAAAGCAGCGATCTGCTCCATTCCTGCATGGTCAGAGCATAATGCAAAAGCCATTGAGCTGCCCAGCCTGGGAATGAACAGCACGGCCTCGCTTAGGTGCTGACCCTGAGAAATCCAATACTGACCCAGTTACAAACAAGCACCAAAAAGGGGTTTACATTTAAAATCATTTTTATCAAAATCAGTTTGCAATACTGGGCTGGAGCACCAGGATTTTTCAGAAAAATCTGAATAGAAAACAAAGGATAATTTCTAGAAATGCCACGAAGGAATGCACTTCAAAGTTTAAATGCCAAAGATGCTGGCAGAGAGCTATTTTAAACAGGTCACCTCATTAGAACCAGGATCGATGAATTTAGAGAGGTCATCTGCTGGGATACAAAACGGATGTTCTAGTCAGCAGTCTCCATCAGAAAACATGCTGATTCTTTTTTAACAGATGAAACCTGTAAGGGAAAGAAACTGTTTCCGAAGCAAACATTCTGCATTTTAAAAAAAAATGTCTTCAAGAAAATGATACTTGGACAAGCCTGGGACAGAATCACAGAGTTAAAAGCTACGCTCCTGCAAAATATGCCTCTGCTCTTCTAAAGCCTCTTCCAGAAGTTAATTTTCAAATTAACTGCTGTAGTGGATATTAACTTTTAGGTAATTAATACACATATATGGGTCAGAGCTTGGTTTTCCAACATACTTCACAAACCATATCATGGAATAATACTGTAAAGAATAACTGGATCTCATCACTTATTTGCTGGGGGGAGAGAAAGGAACACACAGTCTCATTTAGGTTGGAACAGAACTCTTGCGATCATCTTGTCCCACACCCTGCTTAAGCAGACACACGTAGAAACAGTTGCCCAGGATTGTGTCCAGCTAAGTTTGAATATCTCCAAGGATGGAGATTCCACAACTTATCTGGGCAACCCATGCCAGTGTTCAACTATCTTCACAGCAAAAGCACATTTTCTGATGTTCAGATTGACTTTCATGTGTCCCCTGCCTCCTGTCCTGTCACAGGGCACTACTGAGAAAAATCTGCCTTCACCCCAGGAGTGCATCGATGGCTCATGGTCAGCTTCTTGTCCCCCCAAATCCCAAGGTCTTGTTCCCTGCAGAACTGCTTTCCAGTCAGATGGCCTGCACTCTGTACTGGTGCAGAGGGGCTTACCCTCAGATATCCCTGGACATAGGACTTGGCATTTCTCTGTGCTGAACTTGACATGATTCCTATCTGTCCAGATTGTCAGGGTCCCTCTTATGGCAGCCCAACCCTCTGGCTCATCAGCCACTCCTCACAGGTTTTTCATCACCTACAAACTTGTCAAAGGTGCACTCTGCCCCATCATCCAGGTCATTAATAAAGATGCTGAACAGCCAGCCACAGTGTTGACCCTGGGGTGCACCACCAGTGACTGGCCTCCACTGGACCTTGTACCACTGATCACAACCCTCTGGGCCTGGTCGTTCAAACAGTTTTTAATCCATCTCACTGCCCAGTGATCTAATCCATACCCTGCCAGTTTGTCTATTAGGATGTTAAGGAAGACAGGGTCAAAAGCCTTACCAAG